ACGGATTTAATGGTAATGACATTGAGAGGTACTCCGCCCCTGATCTTTTACCTATTCTATAGGTCTAGCTAAGCTAGCCTTTATCCTCAGGGTTGTGTTTTTCAAACTGGGCAACATGACCCTCAAGAAGGGCCTGGGGGAGTTCTCCCCAAACATCTGGGCACCAGATGGAGGGTAGCAAAACCTCTCCTCTCCGTGACCCTGTCAACAGGATCAGGACTGCCCTTGTCTCTTCTTAGCCACCATCTGCTTCCCCTGCTTAGCCTCCCTGCTAAGCACCTTGTCCTGATCTGCCCCTTCCTGATTAAACTGTATTCCCCTCCTTGACCTCATGCCTGAAGACACAGCCACAGTAAGGTGTTCATCTCTGTGAAATAAAGAAAAAGTATATCTTTTGCTCTCCCCTTCTGAGCAACTTATTGATTCCACCATATTCTATCTTTTTGATGGGCTGCAGAGGGTCAGAGTTGAGAGAATCCAGAGATCCCTGGCATAGACCTAACAATGCAGCCTGGATTCTGGCACTGTGGGAAAGATTGGTCTGGAGGGAGATGGGATGCATCATCTAAATAAAGCATCCTGAGATGCTATTGAGGGGCCTTTGGCATGGTGCTGGGCTGTGCATTTGGTGATGATTTTTAAAAAATGATGTCATTTTCAAATGGATTCTTGGCCCTCTTTTTGACTGAGTCAGTGACCATGCAGGGAGTTCTCTGCATCAAAGCAATCTGCTTTTTGCCTTTAGCCTTTTAGCTTTTCATTCCTTCCCTCCCCCGTGTTTTTTCAGGGTAAGAGTTGAAGGTGATTTTAATTTTACAAGTTTAACAAACATTTAGTAAACACCAATTTAACATTCAAGGCTTTGTGCTTGTCTTTATAAGCATATGTTTCATACACAGACAGTGGCTAATGCTTCTTTTGTGCCTGCTGGGCCTGGGCACTTTACCAAGTGAAATTAAGATTAAATGCCATTTTCTGTCTCCTAAAGGTGCCCTTAGTGACATGGTGATGGTTCCTTTCATGTCACTTTTGCAGAATTCAGATTTTTGCCTCACGCAAAAAAGTTCTTTTAGTAGGAAAGGTTGTGACTTGAATGAATAAAGAAACATAGATTGAGAACCTACTATGAGCTTTAGAAAAAGGGAGCTGGTCCTGCCCTAAAGGTGCTGACACTCCAATTAGGGAGGCAACATATAAAAGACGAGGGGAGCTGCAGGGCAGATGCAAGAAGTTGGAAGTCCTAAAGGTAGAGAGAGCAGCAGGGCAGGTGTTAGGGCCAAGAGGTACCTAGGTCATGTCAATAGGTAAAACTTGGAGGACCTTAGAATGCAGTGATAGTGCAAAAGGCAGTGGGTCCTCCCTCAACAGAGGGTTTCTGGGCAGCCTAGGGCCGGGTGAGGAGGGGGACAGGGAAAAGGGTTCCCTCCTCCTCTCCCTGGGGGAGGTGGGTCTTCCAGCATCCAGGCAATCCATGATTGGTTTGGTCCATAGGGTTGTAGCAGTAAGACTTTTGCTCTCTGCACACATCTGACACTCCTTTCCTCTTTGCTTCACAAATTGTCTATTAAAAGCTCTATGCCCATGAAATCTTTCTGTTAGCTCTTGCAGCAATTTCAAATATTCCTTCTACAGCTGAGTATGATAGTGTCTGTTTGCTAGAGCAACCCCTCCTCCAAAGACCCCATCTCTAGCTTACTGCACCTCCCCCTACCTTGACTTTTTAAAAAAAATTTTTTTAGGCTCCTATCTTGACTTTTAAGACAAAGTAGAACATCAACATGGGGCAGCTCGGTGGTTCAGTGGATAGAGTACCAATCCTGGAATTTTAAAGATCTGAGTTCAAATCCAGCCTCAGACACTTACTGGCTGTGTGACCCTGGGCAAGTCACTTAACCCCCATTGCTTCAATTCCTCATCTGTAAAATGGGGACCCAATGGAGAAGAAATGGCAAACGACTCTAGTATCTTTGCCAAGAAAGCCCCATGGATTTTATCTATAGGATCACATAGAATAGGACCCTACTGAATGACTCAGCAACAACCAAAATCATTAATATGCTGGATTATAGTTAATTCATTCAATCGTTCAAATATTTACTAACAACTACTCACATTTACCTAGCATTTTTCAGTCGAAAAGACACCCTGAGGCTCAGAGTGATTGAATAGTTGGCTCATGGCCACATAAAGAACACACACCTTGTAAATATTCAGGAATGTGCTGGTAAATATTTAATAACTGACTCTTCCCCCCAAAATTGTATGCCCAGCACACTTTTAAGGTTAATATGTGTTATTAACATTCTCCCCATCACTTTAAGTCTAGAAATCAAAAAGAACATTAATGCAAGCCATAATTTATAGTGTTTGCTAATTTCTGAAATATAAATATTCACAATGAAAATTTAACAATCAGTTCTTGCAAGCCAATAAAAGTTGGCTCTAGGATACCCTGTAATATTTGCTAAGGGGAGATTGAAAAACAAGGACACAATTATTGCCATAAGGAGCTCACAATTAAGTAGGAAAGGAAAGGCATGTACACAAAAAATAATGCAAATTAGACTATGGTAAGTGTATAAGAGGAGTGCGAATTGCTATGAGATCAGATGAGAAAGAAGGTCACATCTGACTGGTGTAATATGTACTATCCAAGGAAGGCTTCATAGAGGAAATAGCTTTTGATCTGGACCTTGAAGTGGGTGCAAGATTCCAACAGTCAGAGATGGGGGGAAGGACAGGAAAAACTAGGAAGTTAAGAAGCACAGGAGTCTTTGAGGGATAACTAGTCTAGTTTATCTGGAACATGAGTGATAAGGTATGGAATGGTGTCAGATAAAAGTGGAAAGGTAAGGTGGAGCCAGTTTGTAGAACATCTTCAATGGCATGCTAAGTAGTCTGACCTTTATTTGGTGTGGAATGGAGACTCTGGACTCTCCCTTTTTCTCTCTACTGACTCTTAGGGCAATCTGGTGAATTTACAACTGGTTCATTCAATCACTTGAATAATGTTAGGTGTGAACTGGCATGGAGGTCTCTAGTGGAATACTATTTGCTTTGCCTGTACCTCTGTCCTGTTACTCTTTGTTTTCAACGACTTGGATAAAATCGAGGAGGTAGTTATATCAAATTTGCAGGTGACATGAGACTGGGATAACAAATAAAACTGAGGATATAATCAAGATCTGAAATGCTTCTGATAGGCTTGAAACCCCAGCCCATTGAGCCTGGCTGAACAAGCTGAACCACAACAGAAATAAATGTGAAGTGTTATATATAGATTAAAAATCTCACTTGTCCAAGTGCAATGCACAATGGAGAATTCCGATCTAGCATCAGGTGAAAAAGGCTTGGGGTTTTATTTTACTACAGCCACAGGATGAGCTAACAGTATGATGCAGGTTGTTAAAAACAAGACAAACAAAAAAGATACACTTAATATGGTGTCAGATGTAGTAATAGAACTATAGTGCCCCGGGCTTGGGAAGTTGGGCAGGCATTCCCTTGCACCTCCCGAGATTGGCTGGAATCTGGGCAGTCCCAAATTAACTGTATTTCCTGGTTTTCTCGCTGACTCATTTTGTCAGATCAATATAATGTTTTTCTGATATTACTGATATAATTCTTCCTCTGGCATCTCACAGTAAGCCTTTTGAAATCGATCTGATGATGGATAACATCTGCATTTTCTAGTAGACATGAGTGAAATGTGAATTGAATGTAATTCGCACTGTTTCAGCTTATCAACAAATTGTATTAACTAGGAAAACTAGCAACAATCCTCCCCTCAACCCATCCCCCAGATGCCACCCATTGATTTCATCTTAATTCTTTTGGGCTCTGCTTGGTTGCAGGGTAATTTATCGGATCGTGTGATTCTAGAGGGGAAGAAGGAGGCAGGGAGAGGCTGCTCTCACATTTAGGAAAATTGCCTCCATTTCCCCTAATTAAATAATATAGTGTTCTTGCTGTTAAACAGCAGCAGCCTTTAGTGAGGATGCACATCAGCTGAACGCAGCTGAAATTGCGAGGCAGTAAAATCCCAAGGGAGAGGATTTTCCGTGAACAATTAATTAGCACATTGGCTAATGAAATGATTCTTTTCTGGAAATCTCAAGCTTTAAATAAGTACTGGGCCTTAAGGTTCTGAGCTCAAATGACTTGTAGGAGGGGGTTTCTCTTAATCTCTAAGCCTCCTCAAATTTTTTTCTCTGTCCTGCAGCCTGGCACAATAACAGGTATGTGGGGGCTTAAGGAGATACTTGATAGAGAAGACAGGTCACCATAGTGACCCACCAAGGACAGCCAGTACTAGTCAGTATGTAGGTCTCTTTTTTCTGGTCTGGTACCTGGTAGGATAGTTTGTTTTCTTCCTTATGTTGTTACTATTAGTGTGTGGACTTAGGTTTATGTTTGTTTTTTTAGGCAATTGGGGTTAAGGGACTTGCCCAGGGTCACACAGCTAGTAAGTGTCAAGTGTTTGGTCTGAGGTCGGATTTGAACTCAGGTCCTCCTGACTTCAGGGCCAGTGCTCTATCCACTGCGCCACCTAGCTGCCCCTGAACTTAGGTTTATGAAGCCCTTCCCTCCCCTATGCCTCTTCCCTCCCCATCCCCGTTTCCCTAGTCCCAACACCTGAATATGGCTGGAGTCATTGAAATAAATTAGTGCAGTTCTGGGAGAAAGAATGCATTTAAGATTGTGTACAATTTGATTCATTTCATAGAATTAATAGGTTAAAGGGGTTGTAAAAAAAAAACCATGTGGGTTAGCCCCCTTCATTTTACAGATGAGGAAACTGAGACCCAGAGAGATTAAAGACCTACCCAAGCCAGGATTCAAATGAACAAATGTATCCAGTGCCAACTATGTGCAAGAAAGATGCTCTTAGTTGCTAGTAGTGGAATCGTGTTTTTTTTCCCTTTAATATGGTATTTTGTTCATTTAAAATTTAATGACAAGTTACTCTAATCTTTGTCTCTCTCTCTTTTAATTTTTAGAATTAAGCATGAAAATATCGTTGCTCTGGAAGATATTTACGAAAGTCCAAACCATTTATATTTGGTTATGCAGCTGTAAGTATAATATTCAATATTGCATTCATAGTAAAAGACTTTAAGAGTGCCCTGACATTTTGATCAATCAGCTCTTGCAGAGTGGCTTCATTGAGGGCATGTTTATATATGCTCCACAGCATTTAAGGTGCCTGTAGAGATATTATTTTATCTTATTTTAGAAAGAAATTATTCTGTTATGTTTGTTTTTAAGATTGTTGGGAGGAAAGGAACACATGAGACTATCATGGCATTGCCTTGTACCTTTCCCATCTACTCTTTCCTAAGGTTAACTCCCATGTGGATAAATGGAAAACTCACACCTATCCTGAGACAGTAGTAACTGGAGTTAATTCATGCCCTCCCATTATATACTTTTGCTTTCCAGTTAGAATGGAAATTATCAGGCAGTAGGTAGAGGTGTAAGAATGAAAGAAAGAGCTGGGTATACACATACAAAGTAAGATTGGGTTTTAAAATTCTCATGTGAAATTGAGAACTACATCCTCCAAATGCTTTCCTATAAATGATGTATCTTGGTCAATTGGAACATTCTGGTGTCATTATGGGAGACAAGTAAGAATAGAAAAAAGCTTTCTCATTATGTCCTCAAAGGGAATTCTTGAGGATGGTATTCAGCAAGTGGCTATGGGAGGAAGTCTTGTATAATTTCAGATGATCAATTTAGAGGTCATCATTTGGTATAAATTGTTCAGTTCCTAAATTTATATGACTTTTTAGGGCTGATGTACTTTTGTCAATGTATTTTTTTCCATAGACATGTTTGCAATTTAACTTGAGAGGATATAGGTGGAAATAGATGCTTAGTAAGGCATTTTTTCCATTTTTCATTATCATTTTAAGGACATATTTTAGGTTTTTGTATTAAAGTATTTGAGGGGGAAAAACACCTGAATGGAAATGAATAAATTGGGGTTTTTTTGACATTTAAAGGCCAAATAAAGGTTCTGTCATTTGGTGCTATGTTAAATCCTTATAGAGATTTTATTTAGGAATGAGGACAGCTCATTCCTGACTGTAGGGTTCTCATAGAAGAAACAAATAAAGGAGTTACTAGAATTGGGTTTATTATTTGTCCAAAGGCAATAAGAAACAGCATTTCATGGGAGACTTGGTAGACTACTATACTTGGAGTCAGGAAGACAGGTTCGAATTCTGATACATATACTTCCTGGCTATGTGACCCTGGCAAATTTGCTTCACTTTCCACAGTGGTAAAAGGTAAAATGTGGAGGTTGGACTCAATGAATTTGTGATTCTATGATTTTTGCAGTAGTCAAAGTGAATACAAGCGAAAAGTTGACCATGTAGATCTGGGCTTCCTAACTTGGGGACCCCATACTTCAAAGGAATTCATAGATAGATTTGGTGGGGGGGGACTATTAACTGAAAATTACATCTTTATTTTCACTCACCTTTAACTGAAATTTAGCATTTTATTCAATTATAATAAAAATACATTATTTTGAGAGGAGGTCTGTAGATTTTTTCGACTGCCAAAGGGTCAATGATACAAAAAGTTAAAATCCCTGATCCAGATAACTGAATCTTGCGTAGCAGCATCTTTTGGGGAGGACAGTAAAAACAAACAAACAAACAAAAAACGACATGCTTGAAAATATGGCTCTGGAATACGAAATGAAACAGGCAAAAGGCTTAGGCAGTTTGAGTGTCTTTGACATGGTCACAGAGTTAGTTTATGTCTGAATAGAATTTGAATCTAGAACTCTTGACCCTAAGGCCATCCTTCCTTTTTCCAGCACACCACCCTATTTCTTACTTCTTCATTTTTTCCTATTGGATACAATCCCCACAGCTACCATATTCCTCTCATTTGAGTCCTCTATTATGGGGTCTATTTTTTTCTTATTTACCTATGGAGTAAAACCTTAATTATTTACACTTCATGGTTATTCAAATATGGTTTGGGCTGAAATTTGCCTCTGATCAATCTATGAAAATTGTTTACTAGCAAATTACTAATATAAATCAAATGGGAAGAGGATAGTGTTTAAATTTCTCAAGATAGCAGACTATTTTCAGCTAAGTGTTATAGTAGATGGAATGCTAGACTTAGAGTCAGGAAGTCCTGAGTTCAAATCTGGCCTCAAACACTTACTAGTGACCCTGGGCAAGTCACTTAACTCTGTTTGCCTCAGTTTCCTCATCTATACAATAGTGAAAATAATAGTATCTACCTAACAGGGTTATGGTGAAGATCAAAGGAGATATATGCAAATAGTATTGCAAACTTTAAATACTAACATTTTTATTATTATATTTCAACCAGCATTTTATAAGCATCTATTTATATGTGATTCACAATTATGCTAGATAATAGCTCTCTTTATATATATGTATATATACACACATGTGTAAACATGCACACATATATATATACACACACAGAGGTAGCTGGTGGATAGAGTACTGAACCCTGGAGTAAGGAAAACCTGAGTACAAATCCAGCCTCAGACTAGTTGTGTGACCCTGGACAAATCACTTACCCACTGTTTGCCTCAGTTTACTCACCTGTAAAATGGGGATAATAATAACACCAATTTCCCAGTTTTATTGTGAGAATCAAATGAGATAATATTTGCAAAGCACTTTGCAGGCCCTAAAACACTATAAAGTGCTAGCTGCTATTATTATTATTAATTAAAAGTGGGTCCTCAAAAGGCTTCTCCTTGGCCTCGGTTTGTCAGCCCAGATTTAGTTATTAAATGTATTAGAATGTAATAAAAATAAATTTATAATATCTTTTAATGCAGACTTTTTGCTCACTAAGAAAGGTCAAGCAATCTCCTTCTTTCCCTCTCCCCCTACTTGTTTTTCTGCTATGCTTCTGCAGTTACTGTGAATTATCAATATGGGAATCCCTAAAGTAAGTAACCCCTAATGTCCACATTCACCATGCAGCTTAGAAGGCATGGAGACAGTGTTCTGGGTAGATATTCTCTTTTCTTATTTATCAGCTTTAATGGTGTTTGTTACTTTCTTCCAAGGCTGATCTCAGCTCCCTACTAAATCTGCCTGGATGCAGGGCAGGTGGCTCCTTTTGTGGAAGGCATTAGGAAAACCTAGGTTTCTGAATCCTAATGGTGAATTTAAATTACATGCTGGGGGGACTGCATTTCACAATATTTGTGTCTGGGATGTTTTGGTTTCCTAGGAAACATCTCTTGGATGCTGAAGCTCAAAACTAATATGTGGAACTTATCCCCCCCCCCATTACCTTTTAAAATTGCTATTAAGTGGTTTGTGTTATAGAGGCCATTATTTTGTATTGCTGAAAACCCAGAGGCTGTTATTTCTGTTTTTAAGTGTTTTTCATTTTTATCCGTGATTTTACCGTGTTAGTTCTCTAATTTTTGTTAACAGCATGCTTTTCTGATCAGTAAGCCATTTAGGATAATCAGGTTATAGTTTTGGAGTCAGAAGGGTCCTCAGAGATCACGTAGTGCAGCACTCCCCTAATTTTGCCAGTATGATAACTGCTTCCTGGAAGGGACAAGTTACTGGCCTCATTTCATATAGATAGGATTTGAAACCCTGTCCTTGGTTCTGCTGTACCACCAGTCATTACAAATGAGAAGCTCTGTTGTTGTTAATGATAGCTAGCATTTTATAGGGTTTTTTTTATAGTGCTTTACAAATATCATTTCGTTTTTATCCTCAAAACAACCCTAGGAGATAGGTGTGCTATTATTATCATCTCTGTTTTACAGATGAGGAAACTGAGGCAAACAGAGGTTAAATGGATTGCCCAGGGTCACATAACTAGCATCTGAGGCTAGATTTGAACTCAGATCTTCCAGAATCAAAAGTTAGTGCTCTATCCACTATGCCATCTAGTTGTTGTTCTTGGTTGTGATTAGTAATAGTGGTAGGGTATGTGTGTGTGTGTGTGTGTGTGTGTGCGTGCATGTGTGTGTGTTTTATGAATCATATGTTGTTAGAAATGAAAGTGATCTTAGAGATCATATATGTTAAAAGCATTTTGATAATTATATTTCAATATAATTTGTTTTCTTTCTAATCCTATGCATTTTATTTTATGCATTTAAAAACATTATTCTGCAAGCCATTCCCTAATTGATAAATGGTCAAAGGATATGAAGACAATTCTCAGATGAAGAAATTAAAGCCATCTATAGTCATATGAAAAAATGCTCTAAATCATTATTGACTAGAGAAATGCAAATCAAAACAACTCTGAGGTACCACATCAAACCTATCAGATTGGCCAACATGACAAAACAGGAAAATGATAAATGTTGGAGAAGATGTGAGAAAATTGGAACACTAATGCATTGTTGGTGAAGTTGTGAAATGATCCAACCATTTTGGAGAGCAATTTGGAACTATGCCCAAAGGGCTATAAAAATGTGCATACCCTTTGACCCAGCAATAGCACTTCTAGGGCTATATTGTAAAGAGAACATACAAATAGGAAAAGGACCCACATGTACAAAAATATTCATAGCAACTCTTTTTGTGGTGGCAAAGAATTGGAAATTGAGAGGATTCCCATCAATTGGGGAATGGCTGAGCAAGTTGTGGTATATGAATGTGATGGAATACTATTGTGCTATAAGAAACGATGAATAGGCTGACTTCAGAAAAACCTGGAAAGACTTGTATGGTCTGATGCTGAATGAAGTGAGCAGAACCAAGAGAACGTTGTACACAATAACAGCCATGTTGTGTGATGACTAATATTGATAAACTTAACCCTTCCCAGCAACACAAGGATCTAAGACATCTCCAGAGGCCTTGTGATGGAAAATGCTATCCACATCCAAAGAAAGAACTATGGAAGTTGAATTGCTATTTTTTTTCTCTTCTGTTGAGTTTTGTTTCCTCTTTCTGATGGTTCCTCCTATTGGTTTTAATTTTTACTTACAACATCACTAATGTGAAAATAAGCTTAATAGGAAAGTAAATGTATAGCCTATATCAGATTGTGCACCGTCTTGGGGAGGGTATTGGGGAGG